AATCTTTTTAAATAGAATAATTTATAATACCAATCGATATTATTAAAATTATTATTTGAATAATTTCCAAGACTTCCACCTCTATAATATTGTAAGACCATCATATATTCGTGAATTTCTGGATCTTTTGTAATTCCTGTAATTCCATAAAATGGAAAACCACTTGTTCTCAAGTGAATTGTCATCTAAATAACATATTTTTTTTGAATTATGGTATATTTTCAAATAAATTTCGTATTAATTATTAATTAATTTATTACTTTACCTCATTTAAAATCTTATTTATATCTACAATACCATCAAACTTTTTTTAATACCACTTCAAATTTACCACATTTTTTTCCATTGTTGATTTTTAATGTCCCAATCATAAATATATCCATCAACACACATAGCATAATAAATAGTACCATAATCACCTTTTGCTATTTGTTTAATACCTTGAAATCTATCATAAAGTATACATTCTATTACTGTAAAATACATATCAGCATTTAGTTGAGCATCACGAATAAATTTATCTATTGTGGCATTTCCGCTTATCCATTTATCAAAATCATTTTTGAAACGTGTTAAGTTGCACGACTTGCACCAGTTCCAATAAATACATCCTTCATTGCATTATGGACATAATTTAAGCATTTTCTGTTTGTTCGTTTAGGTAGAAGTTTATATTAAAAAAAAAAAAACCATAAATAAATTGTTCGGAATTTACAAGCTTATAATATGAGTACTTAGAGATAATCATTAATCATGCGTTAATTTATTAATTCGTGATTCGCTAGAAACGGAAAGGAGTTACATATATAATGGATTTCGGTTAAAAAAAAAAAAAAGGCATATCTCTTTATTTTATTGACGTTGCCATTTGAAACTAAAAGACATATTTAAACAACCATCGCTTTTTACGATTTTAATGGAAAAAGGAACTTTTATAAGATAGTTCTTGTGATATTCTTATTCCGGAATGAGATTATAATTCTTATATGTAGATCTCTTTCCGTTCACGAATTAATTTATAATTTATTTGATTATTTATAAAGATATAGACCAAGCTCAAATTTTAGAAATTGTTCAAGTGGAAAGTTTAAAATAATAATTACTGGAAATAAAAATAAGAATTTTTTAATAAATAATAATGTTTCTTTTCGACCATAAACTTTCGAAGCAATAAAAATTCAAAATTTAATCCTTTCCCAAAAATCAGGAAACACTCGAAACCCTTGATACCGAAGATTACATATCACTTTATGAATCTGTCAATAATATGAAAGATACATAAATCCTCCGACCCAATTAGAAAGATATTCAACATTTACAGTATCTAATTTAATTATAAGAAAAGGAAAGATATCATTTAATAAATTGCCTACGATCGTTATTGAATATCTTAAAACTAAAGAAAATGTTAACAAATTTAAGATAATTGTTTCACCCCATTCATATCTTCATCCTTGTCCTCATCCTTGTCCTCGTCCTTATCTTCGTCCTTACTCTCTTCCTTACCTTCTCAAAATCTTTGGCAAAAATATCCACCTTTACCCCACTATTTACTAACTTCAACAGAATGAGTTCTTGATTATTGTTATTATATTTCGATGCAATAACTAGGGTTCCGCAAAGTCGAATCGGATCAGATTTTATCAATATTCGGATCTGATCCGATTTTTTTTGTAGATTCAAATTTTAATACTTTAAAAGTTAACAATTATATTAATTTTTAAATCTTATAAAACTTATACATATTATTGTCCAATGCGAAAATGTAGTTACACGAAAAATATAACACTTGTTATAGTCATATAAAAATTTTGTATCCCTAAAAGTTAAGCATGAATTTTGATTTCAATTTTTTGTCAAAACGTTTCCTTAAATAACAGCTATATTCGTAGATGATTCATGCAAAATATTTCCACGCTCACCACGACCATAAAAATAGCTCAAATTATGTAATATACGAAGCAATGCCATTTCGAAAGTATATAATCTTTTTCATCAAGTCTCTGCTGTAATATAGCTGTTGAAAATGGAAAACCGCTGATATAATTAAGCTATGTATAACTTCTGCAATATTAGAATCGGGTTTTTCTTTTGATCGACCGAGTTTTATATGTGCTGAAAATTTTCTTTGTCCTTTTGTTCCATTCAGAAACCACTCGTGCAACTGTTGCCTCTCCAATACTAAAAGCCATAGCAACCAGCTTGCGTAATGGTAGGCCTTGAAACTGCTCCGGATGTTGTCTAGCATCTAAAAAATATTGATGAGTATTAAGAATCATTGTTAGTCAACGGACTCTTATCAGATCAACCATGGAAATAAAAAATGAAGGTCCAGTGTGATTATCAACCAATAAAATAAAACACGTGATTAATATAGATACATGATGTCTAGGTGATCAAATTATTTTGCGTGTGATATATTAGGTGACGAAATACGTGAAATATGCTATCAATAAAAAATCGATATTCGAAGGGTGTGACACACGATTATAGTTACACTACCCTTGAAAAATCCTAATCCTACCCCTGCGGTATAGAATCGAATAATAATATATTTAGGATAGTTGAATTTTTATAATAACCAATCCTAATATTCTCAATCATCTTTATAGTGAAAATTCATTAGAAATGTTTGCCATTTATATTTGAGAAAATTTAAATTCTTGAAAATATTTTATTAGACAATACGTATTTATTTTATTTTAATGTCGTCATCACGCGAAACATTAAAATGAGTTATGGATAATCAGAACATTTTACTATGATTTTATTCCACCATTTGTAAAGTGTGATTCTTAATCAATTATTTTTAAAATGTTAATTAAATTGGTTGTTTAACAATACAATAATCCAATCCAATTAATCATTAATTATAATTTATATAAATATAAAAAAATTGATAATTTCATACTCTATTTAGTATTAGGATTTTATAATAGTAAGAAAAATCAATAAATATTGCTTTGTAATTTAATAAGTAAAATACAAATAAAAAATAATATAACATATAAAATAAAATTTATAAATTAGATGTATCCTTATCATCATCGTCATCATCATCGTCATTGTCATCACTATCATCATCATCATCATCATCACCTAATTAAAAAATAAAAATTAAATAAATTAAATATAAATAATTAATTATGAAATGAAAAATGAATATAATATAAAAATAAAATGATACTTACTAGAATTTATTTGATAAAAAGATTTTGTTAATTCTTCAAGTTTTTTTTCAAAATTTTCATCATTTTTAGGTTTTGGAAGATTTGAAAAATTGTCTACTGGTATAAATTGCTTGTGGATGTATTTTATAATTCATCAGAGTTGAAGTGGTTGTTTGATTTTTGGAAAATTCCTCAGCTTCTTTAACTTGACTTGTAATTTCATCATCATAATTATTATTTCTACTATTTACAAAATAATCAACAAAGTATTTATTTAACTCATTATATTATTCATCAAAAGTATGTCGATATGTAATTCTCGCATCCCAACATCGCATAATTATTTGTGTTATTAATTAGGTGTGTGAAATAGAATTTTTGGTCGAAGTCCATTACATATTCTAAAAGCCAAATCTTTATCATGCGGCACATAAGCAACAAATGTAAATGAATAAACATTGGCAGCCCCTCACTTAATGCTTCAGGAATATATAAGGTAATATTCCAGAAATAGTATTCTTTGGGAATTTTTTGCTTTCTGTAATTAATTTGCTCAATCCATATACACAGATTTAGTAGATCCCATATCACTTTTTGAAATGAAAATTCATTAGCTATATCGATATTATTAAAATTATTATTTCATCTTCAAAATATTTTAAAACCATTATATATTCGTGAGTTTCTGGACCTTTTGTAATTCCATAAAATGAATAATTGCTTGTTCTCAAGTGAATCATCATCTTAATAGCATATACTATAATTTAAAAAATATTTTCAAATAAATTAATCTATTAATTTAAAATATTACTATTACTTTACCTCATTTAAAAATCTTCATTTATATCTACAAGACCATTAAACTTTTTTTAATACCACTTCCAATTGACCACTTCTTTCCCATTGATGATTTTCAATATGCAATTATTAATAAATCCATAATAAATAGTAACATAAATCACCTTTTGTTATTTGTTTAATGTCATGAAATCTATCATAGATATCCATTCTATTACTTTTTATCCTCATCAGCATTTAGTCGTGCATATTGAATAAAAATATCTATTGTGGCGTTTCCGCTTGTCCATTTATCAAAATCATTTTTAAAATGTGTTGAGTAGCACGGTTCACACCACAGTCCATAATGTTTGTGATTGCATTCTTCGCATATATAAGACATTTCTGTTAGCTAGTATATAAGGTAGAAGTTTATTTTTTTTTAAAAAAAAATGAATTTTTATATTTATTGCAAAATAAGATTTTACAAAAGAACGTATAAATTAATCATCTTTAATGTTCAGCATCATGACCGAAATTTAGCAACTTACAGTTAATTAAATTTTACATATTAGAAACTTTAATTCAAATATGCTTTATATTCATTTGCAATTTTTTTTGTCAAATAAGAACATTATCTCTGTAATTAAAAGAGCAGGCTAACTACCTATGACCTCACCTTCTCAGTCATTAAAATGAAATTGGAGATAATAATTTTCAGTTAAAAGAAGATTTCTAAACCAAATGGTTCAAAAAGTTTATGGAAAAATACAAAAAATATATTCTTTAAAATAAATAATATTTCTTGTATAATGTTTCGCAAGCCCCAAAAGTTTTTATCTTAGAAAATAATGTGTGAATTTAGTGTTAAACCTTTTTAATCATTCATATATATGGCATACTTTAATATGAATATTTTGGTGTGATTGATCAGTGGAAAGAGTTCCAAATTATTTTCCTATACAAAAGGTTATTATTAAATCAAGGAAAGGAAGTTCTTAGTAAAATAAATAAAAAAGACAAATAAAATAACAAAATTAATCAGGAACGAGTATGGAAAATGAGAGTGGATGTCCAAAATGGTCGACAGCAATTTATGGAACTAGACTTAATGAGTTAGATACAACCAGAAGAACCCTAAAGAAAAGGTAACGAGCAGTCCACAAATACTTATGGACCAAAAGCTAGAACAACAGCAGGCACAAGCAATTTGAACAAAGAAACAAAAACTACAGAGAAAATACAAATAACATGGAGTTATTGCCAGTGGAAGAAAATTTATTATTAAATCAAGATAGTATAGGCAAAGAAAATACAGATAATAATATGAAGACAATTGACAATACAAAAAAAGATGAAAAAGGTAAAGGAAAAGAGATTATCACTGAAACAGAGAAAGAAAATAATGAAATAAATGAGCAAAATATTACAAATACAAAAACAGATGATAATGAATCAGTAAACTCAAAAGATAGTTTCTTAGAGGAATGGAGAAAGAAAAATAATTTACAAAAGTATAAAGTATGGATTAAAACAGGAGAAGTTCATGGAAAAAACTTAAAAGACAAAATTGATATAATAGCAAATTTATTAAATAAAAATGAAAATAATATTATTACAATCAAAACTGAAAAAAATTTGGGAGATAAAAAACTATAAATTACAATATATCTGGAAAAAAAGGAAGATATGGAAAAGGCATGTAAAATCAAAATTGAAGGAACACAACCAAAATAAAAAAAACAAATAATGAAAAAGGAATTAAGTTCTGGGATATATCAATGGATATGCAGAAACAAGAATTTAAAAGCACAATAAAAAATAAATTTGGAAATGTAACCTCATGCAGTATGAGTACAAGAGGATTGTGGTCATCTGCAATAGTACAATTTAAGAAAGAAGACAGCTAAAAATCTATTAATGGAATGTCACAAATTATTGGAGAGAATCATGTAGAGTAATTTTGTCTACATGTAATTTTACTGAACTTAAGGAAAGAGGTAAATACATAGTAAAGATTATCAATTTACCACTTGATATTATAGCATGGGAATTATATAATATAATAAGTCCTTAGGATACCAAAACATGCTATTTTCCACGAAATTTATATGGAAAGAAAAAATGAATAGCCATAGCATCTTTTGAGAATCAAGAAGGAAAAGACCAAGTTAAAAATTTTGAATGGATATAGAGTTAAAATAGTGGATCCAGTTTCGAAAACATGTCACAGATGTCACACAGAAGATCATCTTGTGATCAGTTGACCTGTGACAAAAAAACAAAGGGAAATTAGTGAAAGAAAAGCAAGAGATTTTGAAAAATATGGACAATTATATAAAAGACAAAGGTCACATCTATATAAATCTCAAATTGGAGGAATTAACATGGGAGCAAGTTACGCAGATGTTGTTAAAACTAATATAAATAGAAAAGCTAAAAATAATATAATGGAAAAGAATGATACAACAAATGAAAATATTATGAAAATGTGATTAGAAATTCAGCAAGATATAAAAGAGATCAAGGAACAGGTCTAGAGCAGAACTAATGGCAATACTTACAGCACTAATAGTAATGCCAAAAAGATCAATGGTAAACATATATACTGAT